CAGAAGACTGCTTTCTTCTGTTTTAGAAGTGTTTGAAGATGACCAGCAAGTGGAGATCGGCTTGTCACCCTCACTTGCATTTTTTTTTCATACTTGGGAAGTGTAGGAGAAACTTCGTGTTCATATGTAAACTCCACATGACTAGTTCCCTTTGAACGATTTTACAAGACCTACCCTTTGAGCCAAATGTTTTTTCTCTTTCCTGGAGGTCGAGATTTAAACTGTTCAGTTTATCAGCGATGTCTGTAAAGAACGCCAAGCCCGCTGACCAGCAATACTCTCTCTCCTCCTTAAATTACTCTTTTTAGACTTCTGAAAATCGTTGATCTCCCGCATTGGGCTAAAACACAATGCAAGAACTTTATCTTTGCGAAGCCTTCATGCATCTGCATGCAACACAAGATCAGACATTTGTGTGTATCGTCTTCCAGGAGGTTCATAAGTCGGCGTTGCAAAGACGCCGTACTGAATATAGTCAATAGTTGTAACATCAATGTTCATGATGTGTTCAGACGGAATTACTTTTAACACACGCAGCTTCCAGATGGAAAATGCAGCAATAAGGTAAATTCCGAGATAGTCCACCCTTCTTGCGGAGGACAATGAATCCGTTGATCATCTTTCCTAGTGCCCCAATAGTGACTATCACAGGTAGCCTGCGAAGAAGCGTACTAATTTCCGTTATAAGGGCTCTGAATGTGTTCCAAATATACTCGCATGCTGTTCGCCGTTTCATAGGCAATGTATATTCAGCAGATCTTTTACTATGAAGGACTTAAATATCGTTGAGCATAATTGTGGATGTCTTGTAGGTGGTCCATTAAATTTGTCACATGGTCGATTGTGGGTCATTCCTTGTTAGGGTGTGCCCCAAAAAGCAGGTCACAGGGCAGTCGGAATTCTCTCCCGAACTCTAGGCTAGCCGGGGTCAAGCCCGTAGTATCATGAGTGGATGTCCTGTGAATAAGGAGGAAGATGAGTAATCTCGCGTCCCAGTCCGTCTGGTAGGATGCGACGAATTTCCGTAGGTGCTCCTCGGCTGTTTTGTTGTAGCGCTCAACCGTGCCGTCCGATTGCAGGTGCAAGGGTGTGATGCGTGTCTTCCTCACTCCAAGACGTTGCAAAAATTTCTGTATCAGACGAGACTCGGAGTTACGGTCTTGGTCTCTTTGTAGCTCCTGCGGAACTCCGAAGCAGCAGAAGTCGGTAACTAGCGCCTGCGCCACTGGCGAAGCCTCTTGTTTGAAAATGGCATAGGCTTCCTGCCACTTCGTAAAACAATGTATAGCGATCAAGAGGTGTCGGTTTCCTGGTCTCTCCGTGTGAAGGACCCTGCTACATTGATGACTATCATCTCGAATGAGGCCCCGAAACTGCACTAATGCATCTGGCCCCGAATCTTGGTTCGGGGGCCGCGACTGGCTGCACAGGTGTCAGACTGCCGGCACCACTTCTCAACATCGTTTCTTGCCTTGAGCCATTAGTACCTTTGCCGGACTTTACCCAGAGTCTTGCTGACACCCAGGTGACCTCCTGATGGTCCACCATGTAGTTCAGTCTACTCCGATGGAGAATTATATGGGCTATTTTGGGCCGTCCGTCGGCGGATTCCCAGTGGCGCTCTAGTATGCTGTTCCTCACAGTTGGGCACAGTAGCTTTTGTACGCGGGGTTGAGGTCGGCGATGTATTTCCAGTCTGGGCACTGTCCCATCTCTGCTTCTTCCAGAATTGGCCCCATGTCCTGGTCTTTCAGTTCTGGATCCCAGCCGGCTGCCTCTGCATCCACAATAGCTCGTACCTGCTCGATGCCCGCCCGCGCCTCAAGCTTGTGGTAGTGGGTACACTCTTCTTGGCAGGGTCCCTTTGAAAAGGCATCGGCATTGTTGTGATACAGGCTTTAACTGTGCTTTGAAGTGAAGTCGCACCCATGTGGGCGCTGGAGGCAGAATGCGGGTTGTCCCTGTAGTTTCTTAAAGTTCATGAGCCAGTTTAGCGCAGAGTGGTCGGTGCACAGGCGAAACTCTTGTCCGTAGAAGTACTTACGGAAATGTTCCAGTGTCCTCGCGATTGCAAGTAGTTCCCGTCGGACGACGCACTATTTTCTCTCGGAAGTTATTTGCATCTGTGTCAACGACGAACCTCTTGCTTGGCTGCGAGTAAACAAGAATATGGCAGTAGAGACGGCGTCCTTTAGGAACTGGAAGACGACCTCCACTTCTGGAGTCCGCTGGAAGACTTGCTTCTCCATGAGTTTGGTTAGCGGTTCGCAGTGTTGGCGAAACCGGAAATGAACCGTCTCTAATAAATGCATAGGACCAGGAAGCTTCTAATTTCGTGTTTTTTCTTCGGGGTCGGCCTATCCCATACGACTCTCAACTACCAGCTTCTAACAGCAACAGCTTACAACGACTGTACCGCAGCAGTCCTCCAAACAGAACTCAGTCACTCACCAGCCGACTCCACTCCATTTACTGAACGCTGCATTAACTGCCCTTTTTATAACATCTCGACACGTACCACATAGAAAACACGGCTCATCTGTTGCTCTTTACGGGACATTGCATATAAGTGGCTTTTGCTTAGCGGGAACATGACTTATTTCATAATTGCTTGCGCAGCTATCGGCTCGGACCAAGCACAAAACACCATTACTCTGTTGCTGTTTACAGGCCGTTACTTAGCAATGGCTGTTGTGTATTTGCTTATCTCGTGATCGTTGTCCAGCAACGGTTTTACGTGCCTCAGTACGAAGACTCAGTGAGTACCGATGAAGGAAAATTTGAATTAAATTACCATTTTTATACTGTACTTTATTACATACGAACTTCAGTAGTCTAAATTAATTAGTGACAAGGATTTTATAGTAACACTTTTCACAGTAAATATATGAAAATTGTTTTATCCAGTTAATGACATCACAATGCGTGACGTATGCTTGAGATTGGTGCGTTCTGTCTGCAGTAATGATGCATTGAACATGTTTGTTTACCACTTGTTTTCAAATGAATATCAAGCAACAGCTACTATCAGTGACAAAGAGTATGGTCCAAAGCGACAAACTTTTCACCTTTGATCTTGGCCCATGTTTCAAACTATATCACGACGCGTGACCGAGACCTTGACCTCGCCGATTCAGCTTTAATAACCTTTTCCTCTCCCTGCATTCTGACACACGATATATCGTGCCAATTTATCTTGTATAGCTTCTGTATTTACTAGACAAGTTTTCACGAATGTTTAAATAATTTCAAGAAGCCTTTCAGAGAAGCGAGTAGTAGCTGTGCTGATCAAGAAATTCGTCCCCCTTTTGTGTGATCCGAAGGT